ACTGTAAACACGACTACCGCGTTTAAAAAGGGGAGCCATGTTGCTTATTGTAACTTTGAAGAGACTTTTCGGGTGACACAAAATGGCATAGTCCCTTAGGTTACACCTAGTTATGGAAGACCGGTAGCGGAGATAGTCGGAGACAACAACAACGACATTCGTCACGGAACCATATCAGGATGCCAACTAACTATTTGTCACCATAGGGCTGTGAGTTCGACTATGTTAGATGCATCAATTGACGTAGGCTCTATGTCCTTAATCTTCCGCTGATTCCACTTAGCTAGTAGCGTAGCGCTACACATAATGGGCGCCACTCATTCAACAGAAGAAAGCGTCGCGGTAATCACCTATGCACTGTCCATTGAGGACGACCATTTATCCCCCGACTGCAATCAGAGGAAGGCAGGTGGAGTGCCGCACTTCTGCCACGGTAATGTGGCTAGCTTAGGCTGTACGTTCTTTCATTTATTCGCAAGTGCAATGCTTGTCCACCGTTTAAAATGCACTACGGCCGAAACAGCGTTTGCGAAATTTAAATCTAAGTGCGCCGGCTCAAGTCGTTCAGCTTTATGGGGTTCGGGTAGTGTGCTTTCCCCATTTCGCTAATGCAGATAGTGTGCATCAGTTCGCACGAGACTTTTGCCGGCCATTATGCACCGCTCGCGCTGGGGGCTCTAGCCTTTTCACCTGTGTCCATGGTACGAGCGTTTGTGGCGTTGTAGTAGCGTCCGTTCTCTGGTACAGTGATGCAGCCATCTTCACCACTTGGTCTACGCTTCACCAATGTGGCTCATCACGCGTCTGCCCCCCCCCCCCTCCCATTACATCGTAGGCTGCCGTGGCTGACCCCAACGCTCAGTCAGTGGACACACTGCGAACATTGCTAATCTCACATGGAAGGGAGAATGGTTGAGAACCATCTGCTGCGTGCTCAACCTCCTTTAGGCTCAGAGGTACCAGGTGCGTCTTACCACGGATGTGGCTTCAAGGTAGATGTTCTGCGCGCAGGCAACGCTGTCCAAGAGAGTATGGGTTCAAAGCCACACGGGTACTCCATATTGCGTGCAACTGGTTTGTTTGGAATTGCCCAGCAATACAAGTAGCACGCAATTCGGTACGTTGGTACTGGTTGGATTCATCTTTTTTGAGGTGTGAACTATTTCGAAGTTGCTTACGATGGAACCTGACCGTATTATGGATGCAAGTGACTGGGGAATGGTGTATAGTTGCGATTGGTCGTCCTACCACTTGACAGCAATGCTTCCTCCGCAGCAGTGCTAAACGGAGCTTTTGTGCCTGTGGGGATGCCATCCTATTATTCGCCGCGTTTAATACTCGGCTGAGATTAGTGCTTCCTGACGTCCCACTCCGTCGTGCGTTAAGAAGTTGAATTTTGAGTTCTATGCCACTTTTGTTTCACCAACCGCCTCGGATATCCACTATCTATTAAATTGCTCACCGCCTCCTTACGGGCGGCCTTCCTGCCCTTTCGCTTGGTACACATAAGCTGGGCTCTGTGGATCAGAGTGGATGTGATAGCAGCATAGATGTTCTTTGGATGGCTCGATCTGTAATGGGCACTACATCCATATTATTCGGTTAGTGATATATCGTCGTCGTCGTTCCTATGGATTAGGCAGTCAAGTCACGATTCCATTTCCATATTAAAGTTTATGTTCCCATTGATGGAGTTCAGATGGTTTAGAAAGTTTTCCTTTATAACACGTTTTTTGAGCGAACATTTATCATCTACGTAGCGTCAGCAAGTCTTTGGCGAACTACTAGAGTTTGTCAGTGCCCACCCCTTAAAGTTCTCTATGTACCGATTTGCCAAACACTGGGGATATGTATAACCTCATGGCAATCCTTGTTTTTACGGGTACAGACTCGACTGAAACCTGAAATATTACCTACTGAGGTATATTTTTTCTTTCATCGATTATCAGGTCTACCATGAGGTTCATTCGCTCCCCCAGGCTATTGTCCTCAGTCAAAAAGCGCTGTGCTACCCACAAATGCGTCATTTTGGGCACCTTATTGAATAGGAAACTAAGGTCGAAACTAACCGATATTTAATCTATGCGAAAGTTAGGCATGCGAACTCCTAAGGGTTTCGTACGAAGGTATTTTTTCTTCCAGTTAACGGTTGCAACAAACCTGCTAGCTATTTGGCTACTTCGTGCATCTGTCAACCGATATCATCTATAGTTGAACCCACGGGAACCTCGGGCCTGTGCATCTTTCGCAGCAAAGTCGTTATTCAGAACCTAAAATCATGGACTCCCAGTTGTTTCCAAGCCCACTCCGAGATACAATTCATAGAACTTTGCCAAATAATAACATTATTTATAATAATAATCATGTGTCAGCTGTACGCCGTAACGGCGCTTTGCTGTCATGCAACCACCACCAGTCGCACGCAGGCTGAGTATGCCGCGAGGAGGCCCACCCCTGCGCTGATTTGCGCTTTGACTGACCAGTGGTGGTAAAATTTTACTGTGATCCATGAGGTTTGCTTCGCTTAGTGTCTTAAAGTAATCCTTCAGTCTCTTTTGTTCATTTTCACAAGAGATTGAACCTTGTCTCTCATCTCATCGGTTAACCAAACAGCGATTATCATGTACACGTTTTACCCATGTGACAAATGGGAAGGGTGAAAAGTTGTGTTCGATTCAGCCGAAAGCTTATCTCCTTATCCTCTTAACCGCTTATCCGCTGGTCATATAACTTTGCAATCCGCTTGGAATCATGTTGGCTTAGCTTTTCCTGTTCATCCATGAATCATGGAATTCGTTTGATCACCCAAACGACAAAAAATCGACTAATGTGTGATTGTGTCATCCGTTACCATAATCGCTGTTAAATAAAAGAGCGAACATAGCCTTACTTACCGAACGGCCTCCCAGTGCTCGATATCACAGTGGGAAACACCAAGTTGTCTTTGTGACCGCCCACTGTATAACTAACTCGACGCTTACATAGAGTATGCCGACCGTGATCCAGGTTGTGGCATTTACCGTAAAAACAATTAATTATCAAGAACTGGCGGAAGCTGAATGTGAAGTTACACATTAATATTTTCGAGTTCTTAGGAATTGGTGGAAGTTGTACACTTTATTGCTTTTACTTCGTCACTTTTGCATTAGATCATCTTATAAACAAACGTTTGGTGATTAAGTTTGATTCTTACAAATGCTGGGTTCGCCAGCATATTCGGGGTATTGCTTCGCGTTGACAATTTCGGTTACAAGGAGCACACAATTCGCCGCGGGTCAAAATCATCACGGGTTCTCTTCAGTCTAACGAATGAGTTATAGTTACTAATTGAGTTTTGACCACTTTAATGCGACCATCCCAAGCGAGTGCAACCGGTTCCGGGGATAATGAGGTTGCTGAGTAGCACACAATATAATTGCAAAATCTACATGAATAATAGCATATAACTAGAGAAGCTGTTCAGAGATAAAACAAATTTCGCTTTATATATATATATATATATATATATATATATATATAAATTTTGTACCATATTCCGCTGAGCTGCACACGCATCAATTTTTCGGGCTATTGAAAAGCCGCCAGAAGTTTATAACGCGCAGGCCGCAACTGGCGGCCCTTTTTTCACGGAAGCAAACATTGTCCGGCTGATCAGTGACGTTGTCGGTTGTATCTAACTGCTGAGTAATCCAAGCCCTCATTGTGATGAATTACAGCAAGACCAGCAATCAGGGATTTCTATTCAGCTTATGTTTGCGTGTACATGTATTTAAATTTGTGATGACTGATCAGTTGGAAGCAATCATTACTTTCAAATTCGTTGTGTTCATACCGCCGCTACGTGTATCATGATCGTAGCGTACTACGCTTCTACACCTTCCATTTCCAGCCTTTTGACAGTGCTGTATGCATTCTCTTAGCCTTGATACACCTCCCAACTAGTGCGTTCATACATAATACGAGTCGAGTGCGAATTTATGGACATTAGCAACCCGGGTAAAACCATTTTATCCAGAGGTGTACAGTCACGTCTCTATTTCCGGTTATCTGGGACTATTTGTCGATCACATGATACAACATGTACATTCGGCATGCCCCGGGTCCACGATCCTGCTGGTTGGCACTTCTTAACAGTGCTTGAAAACGAACCGATGGATATCTGTCTACATTAAGCAAAGTTGCTGTCGTCTAATAAACCGATAGCTTGTGATGTATTCCAAAGTTAATGGTACAACACAATTTCTTTGGTTCCTTAGTATGGTCAAAGGAACTAGAGCAGTCACTGGTTTGGTGCGGAATGGAGCGTTAGGTGGGATAACATAAGTCATGCTCGAATTGAACCACTAGCGCATTTTTAGCAAAGTTCTTAAGAGTCCGATGGATTCAAGCAAGGAATCAATTTGCTGGGCTTTTGCACGCAGTCAATAACATCGCCATTCTATCAGTAATTTGGCTGGTACTATTGTGTTGGCTAATGAGCTATTCAGACGGTTATGCGCTTGGTAGTTTGGAATAGGATCAGGCGAGCACTCAGCCCAGCAAAGAGGTTGACTAGTCATTCCCACATGTATTTATTTACACAATGTTTTGGATCGCCATATGTTGTGTTGTATGCAGAAGGTCACTTATTGTTACATCCATCTCATTAATTTCGCTATTGTGCGGATTTGCACCGTCACTATTCAATAACCAACGTATTTAATAGCAACCCTCATACGGATGTACTCCACTCGTGGCTTGGTCTCCCTTGTTCCAGTGCTCACTGTGACTTGCTCATGTCGTTGTGACTGTATAGTGCGGCGCAGCTTCTGTCTAATAGCCGTACTGGTATTATATTCTTGTGAAAGGTTAAACTGCGCTGTTCTTCAGATAGCCACGCCTGGGGCCGACTGATCCATGAATTCTCAACACCAAAACATAAAGCTAAAGGTCAGACCTCTTAAGATTCCTTTACCTTCCCCGATTTCTATTATGCCTATATTTTCTTTTGTTCCATACAGCTGCACATCGCATGACCCATTCTCCGATGGTGACAAGTCTCGCATTCGTCTGGCTCTCTTCTCTGGCATAGCAGACTGTCTGGTGACCTCTTCGAGTGAAGTAAGTTGGAGCATCCACCTGTATTCTTAGCAAAAACGGTAAAACCGATACCTGCTATTCTTCAACCTTGCTCCGCACTGCAGTGGAAGTAGGTAGCTGTCCAGATTTCACCACACCTCAGCCGTAGATCCATCTCTATCATGGCATGTGTTACCTATTTACACTGTGAGGTACAATGGTCGCACTGCAAACTTCATGCAGGTATTCTATGGGAGGATGCTTCTCGCATCTTACATTTTCATTCAGAAATGAGAAGTCCTCTATACCTCAGTTGGAAAAACAATTTGGTATATGACTCTGATCGAGATGGCTGGGGGGATATTGATTAGTTCCTCTATCCGGGCAGATTGTCGCGTAGGGAAAGCGTATACTAGCTGCTTGACCTCAGTGATGTTCTATAAACAGGTGGAAGCAACACTAATTTGATGGCATGTATCTGGACTCATCCGCAGTTGTCATACAGAAAATGGAGGGGAACTTGCTCCATTCATTTACCCGAAATTGTCTTTCCAATATACCTGCCACATGTCGGTAAAATTCAAACGCAACCAGCTCTGGACCGCATGTGATTTGCTGAACAATGCAATGGACTGTATTCGTTTCATTATGGAATCATAACTGGAAAGCTACTTCTCCTGGACGTGTTGATTACCGTAACAGTAGACGGAGGATTACACCGACCGAATCCCAATCCTCAACCGTAATCTTGCAAAATATCATAAGATATGATACATAGGCAATTTATTATCACACCGTAAAAATACAGGAGCAAGGTGTTAAGAAGAGAAACACTGTCTACTTATTTCATGCACAACAAATATCCACGCAGGCTCGTTCGAAGATAAAAGTACCGTGCCTACACAAACGGTGAAAATATCAGTCATATTTTATGTATCTAAAGGCTGTCTTGTAGCTGACAACCAGACATGTTAGACCACCTCACTTGATGATGGCTACAGACAAACTTACTGTGATGACAGCCCTACCCAAACTGGAAAGGCAAATTTAGACACACGAACAATAAGTTGTCTATAGGATACATTGTTGGAGTTGTGAGATGAATCACGTTGGCCATACTAAGTTGCCCATGAGAGTACAGGATCGTAAACAAGTCTGGTGATCACTACGCCTCAGCCACAATCTCAAGGTACGTTGAAGAAGCTGGACACAGTATTGATTGGAATAAAATACGATGCAGCTCTATGAAGAACTAGAAAAATGAAAACATTTCCTTTAACTCTGGCCTTTTACAGAAAATGCTATCAATCAATGAATCCGTATTCACCTACCTACCAGAAACTGAATAATATATTGTGTGAGCCAGTGCAAAGTTATGTCTGTACAACTCCTTCGGAATATGATCAAAAAGCTTAAAAGGATAGCGGTCATTTTCGGTATTCTAATCCTTCTTCAAGCTATTAAGTAGAATTTATAATGTTTGACTTACAGTTTCACTGGGCGCGTAAATGTGCGATGTCATTTCCAGTTTGCAATCGTTCTCTGGATCAAATAGTAGTAACACGTAAACTCAACAATTTTGAACTGCCACACAGATTTGTCCTTCATGACTTGTTCTGGCAGACTGTTCCAAACCTTTCCCAGTCTGCGTTCGATGGAATACAGGTGAGGAACTATTTTCATACCCGGCACCATAAGCTTGTACCATTGTCTACGTGTGGTACATGGCTTTCGCAAGCGGAGCATCCGCCTCAAATTGGGAAATTCATTGAAATGTAATATGCGGTAGGTGGCGATGAGATGGACTCACTGCCGACAATATGACAAGGTGTAGAGACCTAGTTTCTTCCACTAATCTTCGCAAGTGTAAGCCAGTTAAACTGAGGATGAGCTTGGTATCGACGTGGTGGACCCATTCGATCTTCTCTGCATCGCATCGGGTGACTGGTCAGTAGGCGGGCGAGACGTATTCTTGCATTGTTCTGATGATGCAAGGTAAGAACGATTAGCAATCTGCTCAGACCAAGTACAGAAACTGCGTTTAAGCGCCCATAGCATAAGCAACCTACTACGAATTAACCTGTTCGTGTTGTCCACGGACTTCAAATGACAGCGGAGAAAATACCCTGATCCATCAAGAAAGGCCTGGGATGCAGCGGTTGGCTGACAATGGTGTAGGTCCAACCGTAACTACGGGACCACCCAACGGGAGTTTCAAAGCGGTATTTCTCGACCTGTATAAAGTCATTGTTCATTGAACAATGATGAACAATGAGCAATGATTTATAACGGGTAAAAAAGCAGGTGCTTGACATGTCCCGTAGGGTATTTAGCGTGACAAAAAATGATAGCAAATGGATAATGGAGTCGTCAGTTCGGGCGCTTACAGATGTAACTGCACTGTCGTATAAAGGGAGTATGAAATGTGAATGTGCGCACACAAAGCAACAGGGGAGTGGTTATTGTCCACAGCATAGGCGAGAAAAATAAAAAAGATAGCAAGGACAACGCTTACTCGTGTGCAACTATCTTGGGTCCACAGGATACAGAAATCCAGTTTCTATAGTAGTAGCGTTTATCAAATTACGTGCAATACGTTTGGAGTGACTCATTCTCGAGTAGGGTTATGGCACTGTCCCCTGTCTATTGTGCATTAGTGCCAGCAGCTGGTGGTCATGAGCTATAGCACGTAGTGTAAATGTGACAGGGTATCGTCAAGGCGTTTTTTGAAAAGGGATAGGATGGGTGTATTAATTATATGTTCCGGGAGAGCGTTCCAAGGCTGTGCCACTCGAAGGGAGAAATAGTTTCGCCGACATTCCAGGCGGCTGTACTGCGTGACTGACTTAAACTGGTGACCTCTTAGCGAGGTGTTTTGACTGAGTATTAGAAGGGAATGGCATGGGTGGTTGGGGTTTCTCAGGATCTGGTACACCATTATGAGATCGCCCCTTAGACGCCGATAACGTCCACTGTATATTTTGAGGGTCTTCAGCCTGAGTGGGTAGGGGAGGCTGGTCAAACCTCTGACGCTCTTCGTTGCCCTACGTTGTGCAGTATCGAGCGCGGTGAGATGGTGCTTGAGCCAGGGTTGCCACGCTTGGATAGCGTATTCCGCGTGCGGTCTCACGTACGCACTAAGCATTTTTGGAAAGATCGAAGGGTCAAACTTCCCGAAAGCACTGCGAAGAAGGGCGAGGTACTGGTTCGCTTTCTTAGCTGCCTTTTCAGTCTGCCTCGAACAACCGAGGTTATCTTGAACTATCACGCCGAGATCGCACTCGTGAGAAGCCCGCTGTAGAATTTGTGGTCCTAGGCGGTAGTTGTGCATACTCTTGTGCCGTATACTGAGAACTTTGCACTTGGTGACATTGAAATGCAGCATGTTCTCGATGGACCATGTGTACGCTTTGTCCAGGTCCTCCTGTAAGACTGTGTGATCCTCCACTGCAGCTATAGTGCGCCATACCTTTAGGTCATCAACAAATAGCAAACAGTTCGAAGATAGCACACTCGCGAGATCATTTATGAAGACCAGAAACAGGCGGGGTCCAAGTACCGAGCCTAGAGGTACGCGCACTGAACTTCGATGGATTCAGATAGGTTGCTTCGATCCCTCACATTCAGGTGACGTTGAACGAGAAAGTCTCCTATCCAGCCAAGAACAGGATCGCCGATGCCATATTTCTGGAGTTTGTGGAGGCGAATGCGATGGTCTAGACTGTCGAATGCGTTTGAGAAATCCAAGTAGGCCGCGTCGACTCCTGCACCAGCGTCCACAGATTCCGTCCAGTTTGCACGAGCAATCAAGAGATTAGTTGTACAGGAGCGATTTTGGCGAAATCCATGCTGCTTCGGAACGAGCATTTTGTTGTTCTCTAGGTACCCCATGAAAGCGTCAGCTACAATGGACTCCATAACCTTGGAGATCACAGGCAGTAGTGTTATCGCGCGATAGTTTGTTGGTTCAGCACGGCTACCACTTTTATAGATAGGCGTGATGATTCCATGCTTCCACATGGTGGGGACGTGCATCTCGTTCAGACATCGTTGAATGTAAATTGCTAATGGTCCTGCCAAACTCATGGCAGCAAATTTCAACGTCTTCGGACGAATGCCGTCCGCACCCGGGGAGCTGAACTCGCGCAGAGACATCAGCCTCTTCAGTACAGCTGCGGAGGTGAACGATATGTGATTAAGCCCTGATGGCGGCGCTATCTGCTTAGGCAGGATGTATGATGATTGTGCGCTTTGGAACTGACGGCCAACTTGTTGTCCAAGGACGTTGGCTGCTTCCTGTGCGGTTTGGGCTAACCCGCATGCGGTGTGCAGAGCAGGAATACCGCGCTTATCACGGCGCAAATTGTTTACGTGTCTGTATAGCAGTTTGGGATTGGAGCAAAACTTTTCCACCAGACCTCGCTGATTCTTAAGTTTTTCTTCCCGGACGAGTTTGACAATGGTTCTTTTGTACTGTGTAGACATCCCAGGTATGGTCGTTCGGGGAGGCTATATAGGTGTGCCATGCAGTCCCTTAATGCCATGCACTTATGTGTCCTGCTCCTTACGAAAGGCTTCATCCTTTTAGGGCGGTAGAGTTTGGTTTCGGATGTCTTTACCACGAGCTTGGGAAATATGTTGATGAATTCACCTCAGGCCACCTCAGGGGTTAATTCAGCTAAGAACGACCAGCTTGTTGCAGCAATTAGGTCGGACAGGTCTTCATAGTTGGTTACGACACGATATTCCTCGGCATGCTCTTTAGGATAATCAGCGTAACACATGTAATGAAACAATAGCGTCGCATGATCACTGCGGCCCAAAGGCGTATCGGTTATTACTCTCTCGACCATTAATTCTTTATTGGTGTATATTCGGTCCGACATGGATGGCCTGTCAGTTCCCCTGAATCTGGTGGGCGTTGTGACGTGGCCATAAAGAGAGTAGTCTGAAACCACATCTTGCAGGTCTGCTTTGAATTGCTCTCCTGGTGTGGCCTGGGATTCGAGGGCATGTAAGTTGAAGTCACCAGTGACTAGAAT